AGAAAATCCTTGTGCATAGGTACATAATCATCGTAATCGCCAGATTATATAACAATATTTCAATAATGGATCTTCCTCAGGAGATATTAGAGTAATACAAAAGCTCTCTGTATTCATGAAGTGCTTGACAACAAGTCATAAGGAATACTGCATTCAAATAGGACGCTGATCTCAATAAATGTTCAGGCTCAAATATGCTGCTAAGCTTCTAAATGGATCCCGGGAGACGACGTTGATTATGTACCTATGCACAGGGGTCATTTCCTGCAGGAGCGCACAGGAGCGGAGCTCCGGCAGTAAAGAGCCCAGGGGACGGGCACATGCAACAAGCCCCACCCCCTGCTCCCAGCAGCCCTCAGTCAGAGCAAGAAGCAGCCAGGTAAGTTGCAGAGCTCCCCCGGTCCAAAACAGTCCAGTGGCAACTTTAAGACCAAGTTTATTCAGGTACAAGCTCTCCCTCCTCTGCGAGGACAGATCTGCATGTTCCCCCCACCCAATAGCTAGCAATCCAAAACAGTCCAGTGGTGCCTTCCGACACACTTCCGGTGATGTCAGGGGGCGTGGCATATGCAAATAAGTTATGCTAATGAATTATGTTAATGAGCCATGCTAATGAGCTCCTGCACCTCCTTTTCTACGAAAGGACCCCTGCCTAGGCACAAGGATTTTGTTAAGATTTATTAATGATGTTGTAGTGCTTTAGATTATAATACATAGGAAGCTTTTTCTTTGCAAGTCTTGGTGACTGATTGATTTGTGGGTCATAATCTCACGACTGTTGTCATTATACTTATTTTCTCACCAAATCACAGTGCCTCTCAGCTTCGGGTCCCAACTTATAAAATGGACTCGGGGGGCCCACAACCCAGTGGGAGAGCAAATCTCACTGGACTTATTTATTTGATTTAGACATTTCTGTGCTGCCTCTCCAGGAGATCTGCCCAAGGCGGCGAACAAAACAAAACATGATGAAACATCAAACCCTGTTCAGATCATTCCAAGTTGCGAAAACCATTTCAAAACCCAGCATAAGACACTGTAATCATCTTAAATGCTGTTGAAAAGATTGATCCCTTAACTAATAAGGTTGGGTTAAAGAAAAGAAACGCTTCTGGCTTGGCACTAAAAAGATGGTAGGGCAGGTGCCAGGAGAGCCTCAAGGGAGAGGGCATTCGACAGACAAGGTGCCACCACCGGAAAAGCCCCGTCTCTGGTCAATGCCTGCGTCACCTTTGCAGGTGGGAGCACAGAAAGTAGGGCAGGCAGATCTTGATGCTTTGCATGTAGTTCAGTCCCCGGGACCTCTAGTTAAAGGACCCCAGGAAGCCCCAAATCACAAGCCCTCTCCTGCCGCAGCCACTCCCAGCAACAGGTATTCAGAGGAATCTAATCTTAAAACAACCTAGCAGTTCGAAAGCAAGAAATTGCAAGTAGATAAATAGGGACCACTTCGGTGGGAAGGTAACAGCGTTCCGTGCGCCTTGGTGTTTAGTCATGCCGGCCACATGACCACGGAAACGTCTTCGGACAGCGCTGGCTCTTCGGCTTTGAAACGGAGATGAGCACCACAACCCTAGAGTCGGATTCGACTGGCTTTCGAGCAAGGGAACCTTTACCTTTACCTTTAATCTTAAAACAAGGAGGTTTCTTTTAACCATCATGGCTGACAAGAATCTCTACAAATTACATAGCAAGACTCTGATATGCTTACCCTGTTTGTAACTAGCTGGCGCAGGGCTCTCTGAATTTGACCCAAGAAGCAGCACAAGGGAAAGGGACCATTTAACTTTCCCCCAGGGCTGGTTCCAGGTTTTGAAGGGCCCCAGGGAAAGAATTCCCAGGCCCCCCTCTTTGACCCACCACCAGGCCCCCAACGTGCCCACCTGTGCACCTCCCACTTGCCTGTGTCTCCTTCCCTTGCCCCACTTATGAGCTCTCCCACTCCCCATGCTAGGGTTGCCAATCCCCAGTTGGGGGCAGGGGATCCCCTGGTCTGGAGCCCCTCCCCCCACTTCAGGGCTGTCAGAAAGCGGGTGGGAGAGAGAAATGGCCGCTGGGCACTCCATTATACCCTATGGAGACCTGTCCCCATAGGGTATAATGGAGAATTGATCCATTTATTTATTTATTTATTTATTTTTGTATTTCTACCCCGCCCTCCCCGTGAACGGGCTCAGGGCGGCTTACAGGAAGGCAAGATATGCCCATACACAAAACAGGATAAAAACAGTAAAAACCAACAAACATTACAAATAAAGTGCTCAGATTTAAAGAAGATGGTCATTCATTAGAAGTAGGTGGTTTTTCATGGTGGTAGGTAGTGTCCAGTAGATGCTAAACTGTCCAGTCCAGCGGTACCAACCCAGCGCTGTATTGTGGCCAGATCTTCCATAGGGCCGTCTCCATGGGTATCTGGGGCTCTGGGAGGTGGCTGTTTTTTAAGGTAGAGGCACCAAATTTTCAGTATAGCTGATGGTGCCTCTCCTGAAAAACACCTCCAAGTTTCAAATGTGATTGGACCAGAGGGTCAAATTCTACGAGCCCCCAAAGAAGGTGCCCCATCCCCCATTATTTCCAATGGAGAGAAAGCCTTTGAAAGGAATGCGGTCCCTTTAAATGTGATGGCCAGAACTCCCTTCTGGCTTGTCGGCCTCACCTGGCAACCGTAGTGACATCCCGGCTCCGCCCCTAAAGTCTCCTGGCCCCACCCCCAAAGTCCCCAGATCTTTCCTGAGTTGGACCTGGCGACCCTAGCCCATGCTCATCAAGGCCTGTGGCTCTTTCCCCAGGGGCACTGGCCTGTCTTGGTGTCTAGGAGCACGGTGAAGCACTAGAAAATAAGTGAGTGTGGGGGATCGACTGCAGTTGGCCTTCCCAGAAGCCCTGGCCCCTGGAAGCTGCCCCCACAGGGCATGCCCTGCCCTTCCCGCGCCACCATTTCTGATCTAAATTGCCCTCTTCCCAAAGTTGTTAATAGCCTGATGGCAAAAAAATATCAGTTCCAATACTTCCTTCTCCCGAGTGAAAACAGCAGCGAGTAGGAAGGTGGCGCGTGGGTGCTGGCTTGGCTGGGACCTGCTTCAGAGGCAGAGGGCGATTCTGCATTGTTTTACGAAACCCACGTAGGAACAGAAATTCCCCTCTGCATTGCATGGCTGCTGTCACTTTCTTTAATCATCGGATTTTATGGTACCTCCCACACTGCATGCTGCTTCTGCTTTCTTTGATCATCGGATTTTATGGTACCTTCTGCATAGGTTTATGGCCGTTCAGGGGTGACTTCGCAGTCAGTACCGCGTTGCCCCGAGGTATTTGAATGTGGTTTTGAGCTGCACATTTCCTCAGTGTTGAGAAAACGTGGAGCGAATGCCAGAAGCAGAATCACCACCCAGAGATTCCCTCCACCATGTCCTGCCGCTTCTTGGTCGATCTCCCAGGTGTGCTGTGCAGCAGGGGAGAAACGGGGGAGGATGACAGGCTCAGCATCCAAGGACCAAACCAAACACGACCGGGGAAATAATAAGAGAAAAGCTTGCCCCAGTGCAGGGGTAGGCAGATTTGGTTTGGATCAGGAACCGAAATGGCTTTCCAGATCCCAATCGTCCTACCTTATTTACCCAGAGAGGGAAATCTACAGGTAATATATACACAAATAGGTTGATGGGGGAAGAGGTGAATGCAAAGGTATAGGGGGAATGCCAGGGGTATAATCCAGCAGCGTCTAAGGAGAGACGGCATGGTATAGCCCAATCTCGCCAGATATTGGAAGCGAAGCAGGGAGGGAGAGTGCCAAGTAAGACTCTGCAGAGGCACCTCTGTTTAATCACTTGCCTTGAAAACCCTATGGGGTCGCCATAAGTCAGTTGTGACTCGACGGCAATTTACACACACACACACACAGAGTGTGATGTAGTGCTTAGAGTTCTGGGAGATCCAAGTTCAAATTCTTGCTCTGTCAGGGAAGCTTGCTCAGCGACCTCGGGCCAGTCACACACACTCAGCTTGACCTACCTCACGGGGCTGTTGTGAACATAAGAACATAAGAGATGCCAATGTTGGATCAGGCCAATGGCCCATCCAGTCCAACACTCTGTATCACACAGTGGCCAGAAATACCAGTGCCATCAGGAGGTCCACCAGTGGGGCCAGTATGAGGACAGAATGGAGGAGAAGAGAATGACATAAGCCATATTGGGTCCCCCTGGGGGAGACGAGGGATATAAAAGAAGTTAAAAAATTAATGTAACGACATAACAAGCCCCCTCAGGCTGTTCTCTCCGCTCCTGATTGTGCAGCAAACCCCTTGCCTCCCTTAAGCTTTCCCCTCACCAGCTCCCCCCTTTTTTCTCTGGGAAACAAATGATGCTTTGAATTCTCCCCCCCACACACACACACACATCCCCATGTGCAGTTTGCAGTGGGGATATGTATTCTGTCATTGACTTGGAGATGCCCCACAAGCACAAGGTGGCTCTCTTCCGCTTTTGAGTGACTCTTTCTATTACAGTTTTTTCCTTTGAGCTGTGGGCGGGGGAAAAAATAGTTTCCTCACTCGCAGCACCGGACGGGGAAGTTTGCCGGCTAGGACGTATATAACGAAGTGCCACCAGCCGTCGAGCATTCATTCGCCACTTCTTCCCCAAAGGCCGCAGCAAATAACTTCAAATCAAGAAGAAAGCAAGTCAGGGGAGGTTCATCCAAAAGGAAGCCGCGCTCATTCAAAATCCTGTCGCAACCTGAGGAACGGGATCATCTTAAGACGTCCACCTGCCTGAGGCGACTGCCTTTGCTTTTCCTTTTTAAAAAACTCTGATAAACCTGACTGAGCTTTCTAAGCCCATTCCTGAAACTGTCTGAATTTCACCAGTGACATCTGTGAGGGCCACCTGGCGAAAACAGCCCGCCAAATTCCAGGAGTCACCTTGAAAGCCACTACAGACGGCTCCAGCTCACCTGAGGAAAAACTGACTTGCTTCTCGCCTGAAACGCATCTCCAAGCCATGAGCTCCGAGCAGTTGGTATACGATGTGGAGAAAGGCAGCAACGTGATTGTGGTGCATGACCCACCACGAAAAGATAGCCACTGGAAGTGCTTGAGCATCTGTTCTTTCCTGCTCCTCATTGGGGCCGTCATAGTTTTCACTCTGCTGCAGTTTGGAGCGTTTGGGTCCTCCGCAAACCAGGTAAAGAGCAAAAGATGGGGAGGCATCTTGGGAGGAGGTTTTGGTGGGGTTTTGAGACGGAAGGGGTTTGGTGGTATGGTCACAGCTGGCTTAGGGTGACCCTGTAGGGTTTTCAAGGGAAGAGATGGTTTGCCATGGCCTGTCTCTGCATAGTGACCCTGGACCTTCTTTGGTGGCCTCCCATCCAAAGACTAACCAGGGCTGACCCTGCTTAGCTTCCAGGATCTGATGAGATCAGGCTAGCCTGGGCCAGCCAGGTCAGGGCAGGATGAATTCAAGGCACCCCAAAAACAGGCATTCACAAGCAGATGTCTTTGTTCAGACTGGCTTGCAAAAAAGATAACCTAGTAAGAACATGTGTATGATGGTGATGGGTGATGTTGCATTTGGAGGCTTTTAGAAGAAAGTGTAAAAACTCTGAATTCGGCAAGCTGGCAGGAAACATGATTTTAAAAAAAAATAATAAAAAAATTAAAATTAAAGTTGTTCTTTTTAAAACAAGTCCTGCTTGACCAGATTTCAAAAACAGGATTCCGAACAACGTTCGAAAACGAAAAAGTCATAGTCAAATTTTGGAAGGTCATCAAGCTAGATCTAGATGAGGACTGGCCAACTAGGGTCCTGCCAACCTGAATGTAGTCTACCATTCCAGCTACTGGACAACCGGGGCTCACCTCCCTTTTCTCATTCCAAGCATTGAAACCAAGCATTTTATTTAGCCCTGGGGTGAAATCCGCTCTGCTCCCCTTAGCGGGCCAAATTCTGTGGGCTTGGCCTGGTCTAGAGGAGCCTCAGATACTCCAAAGCCCTTTCTGGGAACTCACATTTAGAAGAACTAAGTTTTCTCCAGGTCTGTCTATCTAGCTGTGATGTGGAATAGTATAGTATATAGTATCTCATCATATCCTAGATAGTATCTCATCATATGTCGGAAAGGAAGCAGGGTTGGTGTTTGAATGGGAGACCACCAAGGAAGACTTTGCAGAGGAAAGCAATGGCAAAACCACCTCTGCTTAACCACTTGCCTTGAAAGCCTTACGCTGGGATCACCATCAGTTGGCAGTGACTTGACGACACTTCCCCCCACACACACGCATTCACATGCACGCGCACACTTCCCCACATACACGCACACACGCATTCACATGCACGCGCACACACGTGTCTGTCAAGGGAAGAGGTTTACTCCATCTTGATTCTTTCAATCTGGGCTTCAGTTGGGCTGGCGGCCAAGCAGAGAGACAGGCGGGCTCTACTTCCCTCTCTGTTCATGGGCATGGGTTTTTTTTTTACTCTCCGGAGATGCCTAATTTTGCATCTGCATTTTTTTCTCAAAAGTATCATTTCTTTATGCATATACTTTGCCTACTGAAGCAAAAGTGCTTGTCAAAACATGTCCATGGAGCAGACGAAGGCTGGCTTTCACTTCCCTTTGCTCTAGAGTAGATCTGTGTGACCGGAGACTCACCTGTGCTTTGTCTGTGCTTGCGAGACCTCCCCCAGGCAGCCTTGTGCCCCCCCCAAATGCCTCTTGTCCATTGGCTATTTGCAAATTTGGCTCTCTTTACATCATTCCTGCCTCCATTTGATATGGAGCATGCTGCTTCATGACAATGCCAACGATAGTACTGATGATATTTGCAACAATTGTATTGACCCCATCTCCCTGTTTCTTTTCCAGGACTCTAAGGGAAACAGAAACCCCTTCCCTGGTAAGTTCTTCCCAATAATTTTTTTTCTTAACAGAACTTCAACCTATCAGAGCAGCCTCCCTCTTTGCTGGAACTTCATGAAGTATAAATCGTGGGGCGTCTCCTCCTCATTCTGGAGAAACCCCTAACCACTGTAATGGGGTTGCCAGCTCTGGGTTGGGAAATATTTGGAGATTTGGGGGCTGCAGCCCGGGGAGGGCGGGGTTTGGGGAGGAGAGGGACCTCAGTGGGGTATGATGAGGCCATAAAGCCCACCCTCCAAAGCAGCTATTTTCTCCAGGGGGACAGATCTTGGTTGTCTGGGGATCATTTGTAATAGCAGGAGGTCTCCAGGTACCACCTGGAGGTTGGCAAACCTACCACTACCTCCTCCCTCAGAATTCCCAGTCAAAGATAGACACTCTACCCTTTTTCACAGTACAGACAGTTTTGCTTCATCTGTTAGCTAGGCTATCAGAAAATTTTAAAACGGCTTTGAGAAAACCCTCTATCTGACAAAATCCGCCTCTGTTTTGTCTTTGCAGAAGGAATGCCCCAGACGTTGAGAGTGCAAGCCGCTGCCTCTGGGAAACCTGCTATCCACGCCATTGGTAAGAGGTGCTCCTTCAGGAGGGCAGAGGTTTAGGGAGAGGGGTTCCAGGCGGAAATGGCCTTCCTAGCTTCTGACTAGGTGGAAACAGCAGCACAGAAGGGGCAACGTGGTGACAGAAGTAAGGGGCACAGATGATTTACGGGAAGCACCTGCTTTAACAGGACAGACCGTCCATGATGAGCCACCTAGCAGCCTCACAGGGAAGCATCTGCAACGAGGGAGTTGTAGTTGTAGTCGTAAAGGAGCCGGCACTATCCTAAGTAGAATTTCTGCTCTCTAAAGCATATCAAGCTTACCCTGAGCTTGTCAGAGCTTGGAACCTAGAAGAAAAGCGAGCAAAAAAAGAGGAGAGACCTCTGGGTTTGGGGGGGGGGTTGTTTCTCTTTTGCTGTCAAGTCACAGCCAACTTATGGCTACCCTGTGGACACTTTCCACCAAACCATATCAATCGACACGGGCTTGAGAGACTTTGCATAGGATTGGACCTCAAAGCCCTGAAGCCTGAGAGGAGAAAAGGGGATGATACCTAGTAAGGTTACAGGCAATAAGCAGAGTCTGTCACAGGATTAGTGGTATCGCCCATCTTTGCTAGAGTAATATTCAGCCCATAAGGCAGTTTAAAGATATTATTTCATTTAGAGCAAGCTGCTCAAAGGAGAGGCCCAACCAAAATTCCTGAAAGGGGATAATACCTAAATCTGGTAGGCCGAAGCCTTAGTCACATAGTGTTGCCAGTTCTGGTTTGGAAAATACCTGGAGATTTAGGGGGTGGAGTCTGGAGAAAGCGGGGTTTGCGGAGGAGAGGGACCTCAGCAAGGTATAATACCATACGGTCCACCCTCCAAAGCAGCCATCTTCTCCAGACGAATTGATTTCTGTTGTCTGGAGATCAGTCATAATAGAGAGAAAGATCTCCAGGCCCCACCTGGAGGCTGGCAACCCTACTTGCAGAGGAGCATAAAGCACAGTTCTTTGCATTGATGGCACGATGCTGATTGGTTCTCCTTCTATCCTACCTTGACAGCATCCAGAACTCACCATAACAACCTCGTCTGGACTACCAGGTTGATACCCGCCATGACGAATGGCATGGAACTCAGCGAGAAGGACAACGCACTCGTGGTGCCTTCCAGCGGGCTCTATTTTGTCTATTCTCAGCTCTTGTTCCATGGAAGTAGCTGCCAAGAACATGTCGAAGAGTCCTTGCTGCTCACCCACACCATCTACAGTATGTCCAAAGTGTTCAACGGAGGCAGGGTAGAATTGATGAAGACCGTCAAATCCGTCTGCGAGAGTGAAGGACACAACAAGCTGTGGTTTGAATCCATCTACCAAGGGGGTGTTTTCCGGCTGCAAGAAGGGGACAAGCTGTTGTCAGACACACAATCGGTCAGATACTTGAACTGGGATCGAGAGGGACAGGTGTATTTTGGGGCCATAGCACTGGATTAAAAGGCCGTCTCGAGTCATGCTCAACCCAAGCCATGTTCCTCTGACTCTGTTCCCACCATTCAAAATGTGAGCCATCTCTGTACCCAGCCCCACCCATTTCCTCAGCAGGTAACAGTTCCCTGAGGCTGTGGAGAAACATCTCAGCACTCCTCGCTGATAGAATAACCGACAAAAATGAGGAAGAAATCCCTTTCTAAGCTTGAAAATGCTCACGTGGCAACTGAAGAGACAGAACTGTATGAGGTTATGGGAGGACAGTATTATAATTATCGGCTATTAGGATTATTAGGCATTTTTAGTCTTTATTTATTTATTTATTTATATTTATACATCCCGTGGCAATATTGTTGGAGGACTGAGAGGGCTTGGGGGGGGGGGAATGCCCATGTGCCCTATAGGTTCATGAGTGTGCATGAAAAGCACTGATAATTTGTGTGTGTGTATGTGTGTGACAGAGAGAGAGAGAGAATGCCAAAATTCCCCCCCCCCAACCCTTGATGTTGGTGCTTTCTAGAATCCAGCTACCAGTCCTTACCTTCAATTCACTTGTATGTATACTGTGTATATCTGCTATAACTTAACTATCATTGATTTAATTATGTATGTTATATTCCTCAGTTTTTGTGGGGGATGAAAATGGAAACCAGGACTCCTGTATTCTATTTCAGTTTTCTAAGAGGGGACATTTTTGTTTTCTCTCTGTTGGATGCTGTTTGTATCAAAGATAAAAAAGATATCCTCATTTTGGGGAAAATCAATTTTTATATTGAAATGTTGTACATACGTGGCTGTGAGACAAATATTTTCAAAAGGAAAAAAAAATCTTGCCAATGTATAACTATTATTATTTTTTATACCAGTACTTATTTATTTATTTATGTGGATATTTATTTTTCGTTCCATCTGACACACTGTGGAGAAACAATTTTGTTTATTTTGTACTAAAATTGCAATAAAGTTATGCAATGAACCACTTTAAAAAAAATCTGAATTTATTTCTTGAAATGATGGGTTCATTTCGGTTTAGTTTGTTTTACTCAGAAACGATGACGATGATGACAAAACCTGGCACCAATTATTACCAGGGAAACATGCCCATTAAAATAGCATCTGAAATGAATCCAGTTAATAAGCAATGCAATGTCAAGCTCAGATAGGGTTCCCCGGTTCCCCTAGCCAGCAGCAAGGTAGGGTGAGTGTGTGGGGAGGCGGGGTAGATTTTCCATCTCCAGGTTGGGAAACTATTGAGGTTAACTGGTGTGGTTAGTCCAGTCACCATTAGTTAGCAGAATGCTTAAATAAAGCTACGAAGGCAACAGTATCACTTTATCAGGTTACTCAACTTACAAAGCTACACAGAGCCACATTGCAAGTTTAGAAGAGAAATACGTCTCTCTTTATTTCAGAAGTACACTTTGTTTTTTTGGTTTTTTTGTCTTGCCCATTTGGGCAAAGTTTATTATTTTTGACAAGTTACATCAAAAAGAACCATACATTAAATAAAGCTACGAAGGCAACAGTGTCACTTTATCAGGTTACTCAACTTACAAAGCTACACAGAGCCACATTGCAAGTTTAGAAGAGAAATACGTCTCTCTTTATTTCAGAAGTACACTTTGTTTTTTTGGTTTTTTTGTCTTGCCCATTTGGGCAAAGTTTATTATTTTTGACAAGTTACATCAAAAAGAACCATACATTTTAAAATAACTAGCCAAATATATATATTTTATTAATAATTTTATTACTTTTTCAAAAGACATGAACATAGCCAAATATCTCACTCACATCATCATATTTGCGTCTACATTCCCATTTCTCCCCTCCTTATTTTAATTTGTAATCAACTATGGCCCTGCAAATGAGGCCAGGTAGGGCTTTTGTCCAGTAAGGCTTCTGATTGACTATGGGAGATTTTATAGGCTGTGCAGATTTTTAAAAAGTGGTGTTTTATTTAGCAGCAGCTGCCACCACAGCACAATGATCTGTACTGTGTTAACCTGTGGCAATCATTTCGTTGCTAGCCCCGCCCCCTGTGGCAGCCATTTTGTGGCAGCCACTTTGTTGCTGCGCCCACCATGCCTTTTCACGGTTCCTGCATGTCATATAAACATCTTCCAGTGGTAATAGTCAATAATGTATTTTCAATATGTACGTTGCATCGGGTTTTCCATGAGGCAACTGAAAGGCGCCTACAGTTGACTCATGGAACGCCCGATGCAACGTGCATATTGAAAATACATTATTGACTAATACCACTGGAAGATGTTTATATGACACGCAGGAATCGCGACTAAAAAGATTAGAATGGGAAATTAAAGGACTTTTTATTTATTTATTTATTTATTTCATTTGGCTTCTATACCGCTCCTTCCCGCAGGCTCGGAGCGGTTTACATAGTCATATTACATGTTCCTACCTAGGGCCACAATACACAGAGGGGAAGTTGACTGCCTACCGGCACCCAGACAACAGGGCTCTTGTCTTCTCTCTCGGCTCTTCGTGGTGGGCTTTTCCCCTTTCCACCTCCTGGCGACGGCATCTTGGCGCAGCAGCTCCTTCAAGCGAGGTCTTTGTGGTGCATGACTGTACGACGACCGTAACTCCGGCATTCGTCCTATTGGCTCCGCCGAGCTTTGCGTCGTTGCGTCATCGTGCCTCCAGTCCAATCTCCGCCCGGATTCTGCCGCTGTTCGACGCTGGATGTTTTGTCATGCTCATTGGGTCACCAGATCGCCGCACGTCTCTTCGGCTAATAAAGCCATGCTGACTGTCAGAGAGTGCTACTTTCATTTATTTATAGAATTTAAATTTCTCTTGCTTTCTTTGAAAATGCCTCATCAAAATCGTTGTTCTTTTGTGTCTTTGATTTTTGAATGTCTCATTCTCTTCTGGCCTGTTTGTGTATGAAAACAAACAGCCTATGTCATCCATATTATGTCCAATCAACTCTGATTGCAGTGGCTAAAAAAGTCTCTTATTGTAGATATCGAGTGTTGAAACAGGTCTTGTCGTTTTTCCTCTTGTGTAGAAACTGCCGTCATCTGATTTTGTGTCTCTGTAATCTCTTCTTCAAAACAATCCCAGTACTCTCCCAGAGCTTCCATAACAGCATTTGTGATTTTTTCCGTCAATTGGCTTTTTAAACAGTCCCATTGGTCATCTGAGAACAGTTGTATATTTTCATCTGTCCTAGAATCCTTCGTCTCAAATGGAGCTGCAAGAGCCATCTCGCTCCTTAACAGACACAACATTCACTGCATAATTGTGCATAGAAAGACACAGACAAAGAAACTGCTGCTCAGCGCCATTTTGGCTTAACTTTTAGCCTGTTTCACTTTCAATAGTTCCATCAAAGTTCTTTAAGAGTGAAATAAGTTTCTGTAACAATATTTTCCAAATAGCAAATAGAACATTTCAAAGTGTTGTTTTTCCCCTGCATGTTTGATGTAATAAAATTTCCAATACTTTGCCTAGCTGGCTGACGTGAGAGTTTTACTCCTCCCTTTGCCTCTGGGACAGATTTATAGGGGCAATCAAGTGTCTGTTTACGAGCTTAACACTTAAAGTAGAAGATAAGGTTGCTTACGGAGTCTTCGCCAAAATGATTTGTGGCGAGGTATGGAGGCTCTTTTTTAAAAAAAACCCCGAAGGGATATTTTTTATTTTGCATTAGACTACAAAACTACAAAGAAAATATTAGGGAGGGAACTACAACTAGGGATAAAAGAAAGATAACCACACTAAACTAAAACCCCAAGAGGAGGAGATCTTAACCCTGTTAATATGAGTGTTAGTACATAAATGTTCATATCACAATATACTTGTAGAGTTCTTGTTTATCTCAGCTTCAATGTTTTTATGTTAATATGTTAGTTGTTATGAGAGAACTTTCTGATCATCTTCCTATTTTTCGCTTCAAAAGGCCATTTTCCAAGTCCTTCTGCCTTTACTTCGGCTTTATGTCTCTAAAGTCGTACACAACTCTGGCAGGACCTGCACTCGTTTCTGCAGCCGAGTCCTCTTCCGTTCCAGAGGTGGCAGAGTCACTAGATTTTGTTTCTTCCTCTTTGGACTCTTCCTCTGTTCCCAGCTGACACCGCAAAAACTATTTGACTTTGAAAGTGGAGTCAATCTTCTCTCTTTTATTGTTGATCTTAAAGATGACACCCTCCGGGACCGCCCATCTATACACTATTCCATTTGTTTGAAGGAAAGAAATTAAATCCTTATAATTTTTCCTCTTTTGTTGAATTTCAAATGGAATGTCTTTTAAGGTTTTGATGGTTACATTTCCCATTTTCAGTGGAGTTGCTGATGTCGCTTTTAAGATGGCATCTCTGGTCTGTCTTCTTGAGAATCTGACCACTAATTCTCCAGGCAGGCTATTTTTTTGAATGTAGGGAAGACAGGGACCTCAGTGGGGTACAATACCACACAGTCCATCCTCTAAAGCATCCATTTGCTCCAGGGGGACTCTACAGTATGGAGATGAGTTCTAATTCTGGGATATTTCCAGGCCCCACCTGAAGTTTAGCATTCTTAACGTTTTGGGTGTTTCCGCAGCAAAACTGGGCATCTTTGTGGATTCCTCCTGATCTGCCTTTGTCTTAGGGTTATTTTCATTTTTTCCCTGTCCGGGATGACAAGTTTTCTCCTGCAGAAACTGGAGGAGAAACTTCTGCACCTTTCTGAGAGGAGCCAGTGACAGAACTGCAATGTAACGAACTGGGACTCGGAGTTCAGATGGCGAGTGCACCACTTGGACTGATTCACACATTCTGGGGAACAGAGCTTCGGTCTGGGATCTCCATCCTTTTCTCTTATGTAAGTGGCTATTGCGTCTGAGCTGCAGACTCTCCTCCGTTCTCACCTGGCAAATTGTCTGAGGGTTTGTTTTGCATAGGAGGGAATGGACCCCACCTTCCCTGTCTGCACTGCCACCACCTTCTTCACTTCCAACAGAGAGATGTTCTGGAGAAAAACTGGGCTGGGCCGGTACCGATTCCCTTCATTTTTTGCACTGCCACTCCCATGATCATGCTGATGGGGGCGGCTAGTTTTCAAAAGCCTGCCTTTCTTTTCTTATGAAACAGAGGACATTAGCTTCCATTGCAAATAGCATGGTGGGGCAAGGTCTGGAGATGACATGCACCAGGTTGCTCAGAATACTTTCATTTTTGGCACCGCAGCTCCGACAATCATCCTGAAACTGTCGGCCAGTTTGAAGAAGAGTTCATCATCATCAAGTTT